GTTTTCCTAGAAAAAAAACCCTTTTATTTCAAAAACTTGTTACAGATGTAACTGAAGAGTAACAGCCTAGTATTAAAATTTAGTATTAGTCTGTTGTCTTACTTTTTTTAAATTTTAAATTATTTTTATTTTTTAATTTAAACATCTCCTCTGTTGCCAACTTTCGTGCAGTTCAGCAAAGGGAGGAACTCTAGATTTTTAAAAATTGAGTTTATTGGTACATTTTAATTATGTAGTACAATTACATTCATTATTGGGATCTTGTACCAAAATCTTTTTTTTTTTTTTGGTACCAGCAATCAAACTCAGGTCCTTGTGCTTGCAAGGCAGGTGGCAGCACCACTCAGCTAAATACCCGGCCCCGAATCTGGTTTTTTTAAGGGGGGGTACAATCTGGGGTTTGAACCAAATGCCTCACCCATGATGCTAGACAAGCACTCTACCACTGAGCTACATCCCCAGCACCTTTTATGTAAGACAGGGTCTTGTGGAGCTCTTCAGGCTGGCCTTGAATATGCAGTCTTCCTGCCTCAGCCTCCTGAATAGATGGGATTACGTGTGCCATCCCACCTTGCTTGATAACCTGCTTTTTTGAGTCTTGCCCGAGTGAGCAGTTGCATGCCTGTGTGTGTCTGCTGGGCTCCAGAGTGGTTAGGCCTGGTTTAGTGAAGCAAAGGAAAAGCCTCACTTTGAACACAAACCCAGATCGGGCTGCTACAAGTTGTCCCCTTTTTCTGTGCACCAGGGACCTAGTGTGGGGGAGGCAGCTTGTAACTGAGGTCTCAGTCTGGGACTTTATTAAGCCTTCTGGGTTCTTGGCCTCAAGCTGGGCGTTTCAGGTTGGCAGTGGTAGGGTCAAGATCTGATGTTGATAATGTCACCAGCCCCCAGAAAAAGTAAGGTGTTGCTTCCTCTGAGAACGACGGGCACCCACATCTCTTGTGTTTTGGCCTTCCTAGCTGTTCAGCAGGATGCCTGTAGACATACACGCTAAGGCCTTGAGACATACACGCTAAGGCCCCGTTAAAGCCTGCCCTTTGAACTTCCTGCAGCTCCCCCTAGACGAGGAGGCCAGTTAGTGTTTCAGATACTGGTCCCAGGCAAGTGCTTTGCCCTGTGGAGCAGGCCAGCCACTCCTACAGGGCCATGATGTTCGTAGCCCATTGGAAGAGTCTTTGTTTTAGCTCCCTTCTATGTTGGGCCTGTTCATGAGCCTAGTTTGCCTCTTCTCCCCTTCAACATTTAACACAGTTTTGAGTCACCTGGTCAGCCAAGGTCAGTGTTACGGAAGAGGATCTGGACCAGGCGCTGAGTGCTGGACAAGCTAGTTGCTCCTGCTGCCTTGTCAGAGGTACGTAGGCCTCGAGACTGCAGCTCAGCAGTGTGAGCCTCAGGATGAGGGCGGTCTTCCTGGTAGGGTAGGGCAGAAGTGCTACCGTGGTGAGCTTCCTTCTCATCCCGGCTGGCCTTGCTCTGAGCCCCACCTGCCTCCAGACACACTCCACCCAGCACCGCTGACAGCTGCTCTAGTCTCTCAGCTCCTGCGGCCCCCGCTCCACTGCCTTGTTTTTCTGTGTGGCTCTGATCACCACCTGACCTGCATCTGTCCTTGCTTCTTCCCCCACCGTGTGGTATCAGGGGCTTGGCAGAGCAGGGCCTGGGCCCCACAGCAGCTGGCACAAGAATCGCTCCATCAGCACTGGCCTGGCGGCGAATTCCTTAAAGTCCCATGGCACATGACAGAGCTCCTCGGTCCAGAGGAGGCAGTGGAGACGGCCTGTCCCAGGGTCCCAGTGCCCACCCATCAGGCAGCCACACAGCCTGTAACCTGTGTCAGACGTCTGTGTGCTACCGACCATTCGTGCCCCTCCCCAGGCACAGAGACTTGGCTTTTTGGCATCTTGTCTTCCTCATCCTTTCTCTGTTCAGAAACTTCTGATCACTGCAGTTCTCCAGGAAATGTTGCACGACAGACACCAGCTCTAAAACTGTTCGGAGTTTTACGACAGCTGGAATCTGTCTATCCTACCCTAAGTCAGATTGTTTTAAAAATGACATTCAGGGGCTGGGGATTTAGCTCAGTGGCACCGCACCTGCTTCACAGGCACGAGGTCCTGAATTCAATCCCCAGCCCTGCAAAATACAAAGCAGAACAAAAACAACGTTCAGTGCACTGCTCCCAGCTCCTCAGCAGTTGGGATTTGGGTTTTGCCCGAATTTTGCTCTGGGGTCTCCTTTCCTAGGGCAGGCACGGCCCCCTCTAGTGTTCCCTCCAGCACCGTCTGGCACCTGTGATTTGAGCACTTGACATTTTAGGGTTGTGAGGGACGCGAGGGCAAAGGGCCGCCCCCAGGGCAGGGCCGGATGCCATCTGTAGCCGTGGCACTGCAGTATCCCCCGGCCACCCTAGAAATACGGCATCACTTCTGTGACCAGAGCAGTCATCTTGAACAGAGTGTGGCCCTGCCCTCGGTTCTGGGAGTTGAACCCAGGGTCTTCACACTGAGCTACATCCACAGACCATTTTTGGTTTTTGTTTTGAGACGGGATCTCATTAAGTTGTTCAGGCTGGGCCCAAACGTGTGATCCTCCTTCCTCAGCCTCCCAGAGTGCTAGGATTGCACTCGTGGGCCACTACTCCTGGCCAGAAGCATACTTTACTCTGTTACTATCTCTGCAGCTCTGGGGAGAGGTAAGCTTTTTTTTTTTTTTTAATGTGGTCTAAGAGGACTCGGGTCAGGCTGCTGAGTTCAAGTCTCCACTCCTCTCCTATAAAGCTGGGCCAACTTACATGCTTTTTCTTTGCTTCACTTTACTTATCTGAAAAGAGAAATGACTATAATAATAGCAGTTCTTCCTCCGTGTTAGGGGAGACACACGAAGTGCTTGGAAAAGCGTGTGCCGTGCAGTGAGCAGCTGGTGGTACTGTGGGCAGACAGAGGACACAGAGTTCAGAGGTGCCCCGGGAGTGCTGGGGACCCCTGAAACATTACCGGAAACTTCTGCGGTAGGCTCCAGTCTTCTGCCCAGTGTACGATACAGGCCTGAGGGGCAAAAAACTAAAAAGACAGAACTAAGACAGCAGAGGCCAGGATGACCAATGCTGGTGCAACCGACAGAAGCGCTGGCCAGTCCAAGCCACTGATTTTTACTGATAAAGTGAGGGCGAGCCACACCCAAGGGCAGGACTGTGTGAGGCGATGCCCAGTGATGCAGGCGCATGGTTTCCATGGAAATTAATGTAAGCCAGGCTCATAAAAAGCAAGGCAAAGCATTCTCGAATTAGGAACAGAATAGACAAAATACATGGTTGTAATTAGAACGTTGGTCTTCTAGTTAAGAAAGTCTTAGTTATGGGAACAGGATTTGGGTGCAAGTTACTCTGACCTCAGCCAAGTGTCTTTGTTCCTGCTTCAACCTCAGCCGTGGCCTTGCTTTCCCCTCCCCCACCAGGGGGTGCAGGAGCCCAGACTGCGTGAGTTGCAGGAGAAAGCACCTGTGCATCTCTGCCTTTCCCTCTGGGCAGCTCTTTACGTGGTAGATGGCACCCGGGAATGATGTGCAGGCTCGGCTCAGGGTTCTCCTTGGAGACCCCTCTGCCCCGCGTGGCACAGTCCCTCTCCCCTGGTGTTCGCACAACACAGCTTCTGGCTTCCGTGATGGCTTGGAAGGGCCCCAGTTTTGGCTTTCTGAAGTTTAAGCTGAGCAGGGCTTTGGGCTTGGTGGGGCAGCACAGAATAGAGATATGGACACACAGCATCACAGTACAGAATGTTTTCTGAGTTAGAAGAGGGGTAGTGGCATCCCTGTGAGCCTCTTGTGGCCTGGACCCCTGAAGCACATGTCCGAAGAGCCTGGCCCTTTGGGGGCGTCTGCCTGCCCTCCCAGGGGCTCTCAGTCAGGCAGTGGCCACAGCCAGCCTGATCCCGCACACCATGAGCGTGTCTGTCCTTTTTTTCCCTTGTTCAGTCCTGTGGCCATCACCCAGAGATGGCTGCTAACGCCTGTTTTGTGTTTGCACACAGGAGCGGGCTGCCTGGGGTCCCTGGTGTCTGACTCCGTATTGAACTGCTAGATTTGTTGACATCTAGAATGGGGCTTGGTTTGCCTGTGGGATTTCTGCACTTCTGGTTGGTGATAGGGTTCATTGCTTCCCTTCACATCCTACTGATAGAGTTTTAGTCATTGCCAAAATTCCAGCCCTTTGGTTCTGCCTTTGTGGCGTCACCTTTCCAAGGCCCAGGGCTTCCAAGCAGAGGGGCTGCTGCCAAGGGTGTCCAGTTGGCTGGTTTTTGAGGGAACAGCTCTCCCAGCTGTTGGGGTCTTGATGAGCAGAGAGACCACCCATTCCTGTGTCAGGGAGGACCCCGGGTTTGGGGGTCCAGCAGAAGAGGAGGCAGGCTGCTCTGGTGGAGAAGCGGCCCCTCCCTGGGCTGCGGGAGTGTTGGCAGCTGCCACAGGGGGATGAGGAGCCAGCCAGCCAGCCCTTGAGTTACTCAGCAGCCTACAGGCTCTGCAGTACCTAGATAAGGAGCAGCCTGCAGCCGGCAGGAGGGATGGCCCAGATTAGAATGTGGTGCCTGTGATACCCTAGCTGTGGGGTGACCCAGTCACGCAAGTCCCCACCCTCTGTCCTGAGAGCTGAATGGCAGGGGTTGGAGGTGGGCACCTGAGGAAGGTGGAAAAGGGTTAACTCCCATGAGGAAGTGTTTGTAGCAGGGGCTGTTAACCTTGACCAGAGGCCTTTGAGTTGCCCTTCTGTGATCAGGCTCCGGGCTGGGGTGTTGTCTTTGGTAGGAGACGGTGGCTGCAGGGGACACTGGAGACTTCTGAGTGGAATGGGCGCCACCTGTAGTTCTGACTGCAGGTTGCGGGGCTCCCTCAAGAGAAGACGGGATTGTGCACGCTGGCCACATGATCGTGCACTTGCGAGAAGTCAGAGAAAATGTATCTTCTGGTGCCTTCCGAGCCCCCTGTGACACCTGTGTTCCCTTTCCCAGCTGAAACTGGAGGACCGCTCCGTGGTGCCCCGAGACGTAGTCCGACACATGCGCTCCACCGTGAGTCCTGGGTCCCTGCCCCACGCTCTGTGTGGTAGAGCGAGCACCCGTCTGGCGGGATTGTCCGGGCGGGTCTCCCCCGGTGGCCCTGGCCTGGATGCCTTCTCCCCCCTCAGGACAGCCAGTGCGGCACAGTGATAGACGTCAACATCGACTGCGCAGTCAAGCTCATCGGCACCAACTGCATCATCTACCCCGTCAACAGCAAGGACCTCCAGCACATCTGGGTGAGCGGCTCCTGCTGCCTCTCTCCCCTCCCTGGCTCAGCAGACAGCCGCTCAGATGCAGGATGGAGACTCGGGCCCCCTCCGGCCCCAGCAGGGGTCACAGTGTGGTTCTCTTACCTGTTCTTTCTCGTCTCATACTGCTCACTCTCACTGTGTAGCCCAGGCCGGCCCCAAACTCACTGCACTCCTGCCTCAGCCTCCTGAGTGTCGGGATTATAAGCATGTGCTACCATACACACCCAGCGTAGCACTTTTGTGTTTGGTACCGGGGATCCAACTCAGGTCCTTGCATTTGCAAGGCAGGCAACAGAACCACTGAGCTAAATCCCTGGCCCCCAAGCATAGCACTTTTTAAGAGAAATTTTCTTTTTAAAATGACTTCAGACTTATAAAAAGATTATAAATTCATGTATCTGCGTCACCCAGCTTCCTCAGCTGTTACCATTTCACTGTTTGTTCCATCTCCTTTCCCGGGTATCTGTCTCTAGACTTTCTTCCCTGAACCATTTGATACCAAGCTACAGGTACGTGCCCCGTCACCCTGAACACGGCAGTGTTTGCTGGAACCAAGGGTGCACCCCGTGTAACCACTGCAGGGTGCCCCAGATTAGGAAGTAAGCACTGACATAGCACCGTTCTGTCCTCAGACCCCATTCAGTCCTCCCAGCGATGTCCTTTTTCCTTTTCTGACCCCACATTCCATTCAGGAATACATGTGGCTCTTAGTTGTCAACTCTTCCATCCCTGTCTAATCCGGCCTGGCTGCCACAGTTCTCTCCTCTGTGTCCCGGACAGTGACACACTCAGTAGTGTGACCTTCGCCCCCAGTCTGTCTGGTGTCATCTCCTGATCTGGTCATGACAGCCCCTGCTCAGCTGTCCTTTGGCTCAGTGTCTGGGGAGGGGTTGCTCTGCCCCCACTCACGCTAGTGTCCTCGGGTCTCCATCCTGAAGTCACCTTTACCCTCTTTAAGTGACTGTATGGGGGGGCGGAGTTCCAAGAGTGTCCGTAACCTGGCACCTGTCACACCCTGAGCGCAAGCCTTAGCTCTTTGCCTTCTAAACCAGCCGTCACTCTGATGGTTGCTATGGTGAGTGCAGGAAGGCATCATTCTCTTGTTGTTAGTTGCCATCCTCCTGTGTGGAAGAGCTTTACCGCTTTACCTTCTAGTCCATTTATTTACTTAATTACTTATTTGTTCATTTGTGATGATGGGGACCAGACCAGGCCCTTGAGCTCTACTACTGAGTTGTGTCCCTATCCCGGCCTCATTTATTTTTTTCTTAATTTTCCCTCATACTAGGGATTAAACCCCCAGGGCCTTAATCACTGAGCTACATCCCCATCACTTTTTGTGTTTTAGTTTGAGACAGGGATCTTGCTGAGTCACTTAAATTGTCCAGGCAGGACTTGAACTTGTGCAGCCCTCCCGCCTCAGCTCCTCAGAGTACAGAGATTACAAGCAGTTCATTTATTCTTTTTTCTATGTAAGATGACGCTGGAAGTGTTGTTTTATTCCATTGGTTGTAATTCATTGCTGCTGTACTTTCTGTGTTGCTAATGGAAGCCTTCCGGCTAGCTTTTGGGTTCATTTCCAATGGCTCCCTCTCTTTTCTTTTTTAAAGCTCTTTTTACTTCCTGGCAAAAAGAGGTATTTCAGGCTCATCTTTTTTTTTTTTTTTTCTGATCTAGCCTGGTTCCTTTCAGAGAAGAATGGCATTTTTAAAAACCAAGATCTTGGGGCTAGAGTCTGTATTTCAGTGGTAGAGCACTTGTCTAGCATGCTCAAGGCGCTGGGTTCATTCCTAGCATAGCAAAAATAACAAAAAAAAAAGAAAGAAAGAAAGAAAGAAAGAAAGAAAACCAGGTAAGATCTGGATGCTAGGTGTGCTAATTGTAGTAGACCCTTTTTTAGGGTGGCGCTAGGAAGTGCCTGTATGTGTGTAATGCTCATGTACAGTGCACCTAATTCTGTCCGTCCCAGTCTACCTGTATGTTAAAGTATGTGTGTTTGTCTTGATGGCTCTGATGGGATCTAAACACCCCCACTCTTCCTTTCTTTCCCCTTTCTACGTTGGTGGCACCTTCTTCGACAGTGAGAAATCTGGCTCTTGATATCTTCAGTATGTCAGTCTGTTTACTTAAGCCTTTACTGACTTGTCCACGTGGCCACCTCCTGGCTGTATGGCTCGCTCCACTGCCTCTCCAGACTCTCCCCACATCTCCCAGGACCCCCACACCACTGCTGCCTCCTCTTGGACCTGTCCCGGGAGACTGCACAGCAGTTGTATGGGTCCATAGCTGAGCAGTCCACTCAAGTGAGCCATCTCAGCTCGTGCCCTGGGCGTCTGTCAGCAGTGTCTCCTTTCTCAGCCCTGTGTCCTCTCTCTGCAGCCCTTCATGTATGGGGACTACATTGCCTACGACTGCTGGCTGGGGAAGGTCTATGACTTGAAGAACCAGATCATCCTCAAGCTGTCCAATGGCGCCAGGTGGGTGTCACCAGCAGGGACTGGTCAGCTGGGGAGGGCAGGCTGTGGAAGGCACACACAGGGGGCTTCCTCGCAGGGCTGTGATACAGGCCCGAGCCCAGACTACATGTTACAGGCTTGCCTAACCTGTGTTGGGCTGTCTGTCTGCTGCGGCCCAGTTCACCTGCTTAATCGCTGTTCCGCCTTGGCGTGGAGAAGGTCTTCCTTTAGGGTGTCTGCAGGGAGTGGGCTTTATCTGACACCATAATAGCTGTGAACGCTCACGTGGGGCTTCAGGTCTTATACCATTGCAGAGGCTGAGGGGGTGCTGGGAGAAGAATGGTAGCTGTTAGGCCTCATGGACATCTTGGCACCGCCAGATTACCATTGCTGGGTGCTTGGTGGTTGTGTCTGGTGGAGACCAAGCCTGTTTGCTGTTTCAGGTGCTCCATGAACACAGAAGATGGTGCCAAGCTATACGATGTCTGCCCACACGTCAGCGACTCAGTACGTGCGTCTGCCAGGCTGGCTTCTCTGAGGGAAGGTGCCCTATGCTCCTTCAGCTGCATAGGAAGGGGACTTAGCAGAGAGCTCGGAGCTGACCCAGGCCAAGCGAAGTGGATCCCTGGAAAAGGGGCGGGTGTGCACCAGAGTGTCTAGCAGATTGGGCTTGAGCAGAAAATAGAACTTCTTTTTGCAACGAGCTTTTCTTCTCGTCCTTTCAAGTCTCTGTTTTGGGGTGTATAGAATGACCTAGTCCAGTAGGACATGGGGCACATAGTCCCAGCAGTTTATACTGTGGGGTACGTGATTATAAACAGATTTAGGGGCTCTGCTCTCCAGAACTGAAAGTGTGACTGACCCTTGACCCAGCATCATGAGGTTGGTGAGAGCTTGTTAGGAACCCAGAACGAATCTGCAACTGCAGCTTAGCCAGCTCCTGGCTGACTGGTTTGCACGTACATTAATCAGAGCCGTGGGATGTATCACGAGGAGAGTGAGGCCTGTGTAGTGAGGCTTGTGCAGGTAGAGCTGGCAGGGGCGGGGAAGGGAGCACTGTCCCTGGAAAGGCCGTCCTCACAGGTCTTCCTTCTGGTCCTAAATCCTGCAGGGTCTCTTCTTTGATGATTCCTACGGCTTCTACCCGGGCCAGGTGCTCATTGGCCCCGCCAAGATCTTCTCCAGTGTCCAGTGGTTGTCAGGGGTCAAGCCTGTGCTCAGCACCAAGAGCAAGTTCCGAGTGGTGGTGGAGGAGGTAGGGAGTGGAGTGGGGCAAGGGTGGGGTGGGGTGGCCCCTTGACCTCCACACCCGGAGCTGAGCTTCAGTCCCTTTCTTGCCTGCTGCTCAGCCCCTGGACCCTGTTGGACTGAAAGGACTTTGGGTAAAGGGAGCCTGGAGTCTGGTCATCGAGTGGCCTGTAGGCTAATATCCCCCACCTGGCTGCACTGGCTGGACAGGGGGTGGGGGACTGGGGCATGTCTTGGGGGGATGCTACACCATGAAGGTCTGCTTTCGTGCCCCAGAGGTCACAGGAATCTGGATAGCAGGTTACAGAGAGTGCCATGGGTTCAGTCCCCAGTACGACAACAAACAGTGCTGTAAGAACCCTACCCCAGCTGTGGCCTGACCCACCTACCGTCCCCAGGTGCAGGTTGTGGAGCTGAAAGTCACATGGATTACCAAGAGTTTCTGTCCAGGGGGCACAGACAGCGTCAGCCCCCCGCCCACTGTCATCACTCAGGAAAATCTAGGCAGGTGAGCCCCACTCCTGCAGTTCCAGGGCCATACCCAGAGCCTGGCTCCAGGCCAGGAATATGCTGGCCTCTCAAAGTCCAGCCCGGCCCCTGCTTCTCCCCGCAGGGTGAAGCGTCTCGGATGCTTTGACCATGCTCAGCGGCAGCTGGGGGAGCGCTGTCTGTATGTCTTCCCAGCCAAGGTAGAGCCGGCCAGGATTGCCTGGGAATGTCCAGAAAAACACTGCGCCCAGGGGGAGGGCTCTATGGCCAAGAAGGTATGTCCTCGGGCTGGGGTTGCGGGCACTTGAGGAACTGGCCTCAAGCCATTTCCATGGCCAGGCAAGATGTCTTGGGAGCTGTCCTGAAGACCCTTGCTGGCCACTTAGGTGTGCCGAACGATTGTCCCCCCAGACCAAGAACCTGGCGCCAGGCCAGCCTGGCCATCCCGTGGGCTTCGGGCAGGGACGCTCCCTGCTGTTCTCCACAGCACCCTGTCCTCTGCCCCTGCAGGTGAAGCGCCTGTTGAAGAAGCAGGTTGTGAGGATCATGTCTTGCTCCCCGGAAACCCAGTGTCCCAGGGACCATTCTATGGAGGACCCAGACAAGAAAGGGGAAGCCAAGGCCAAGAGTGAAGCTGGCTCTGCTAGCCCAGAGGAGCCACCCGATGGGTCTGCCAGCCCTGTGGAGATGCAGGATGAGGGCCCCGAGGAGCCCCACGAAGCTGGCCAGGCACTGACCCCTTTCCTGCTAAAGGAGGGTGGAGATGATGGGCTGCACTCAGCAGAGCAGGATGCAGATGATGAGGCTGCCGATGACACGGATGACACCAGCTCTGTGACCTCTTCCGCCAGCTCCACCACCTCCTCCCAGAGCGGCAGCGGCACGAGTCGCAAAAAGAGCATCCCTTTGTCCATCAAGAACCTAAAGCGAAAACACAAGAGGAAGAAGAATAAAATCACTCGTGACTTCAAGCCAGGAGACAGGTAAGTACACAGCATTCAGCCTGGATGGCGCTGAGGGCCCGCATGGAATTGCTCAAGGCTGTGCCAGGGCACGCAAGGTCTGCAGGCCTTGCGCCGGCTCGTGACCCTGCCCACAATGATGGGCAGCACCCAGGGCAGAGCTGGCCGACGGAGAGGCCTGGGCGTGTTACGGAAGCAGGGAGGGGCCCGAGCTCTCCTAAAGGTGTCTGCTTCTCGGGAGAACATGCAGCTTTCGAAAGTGAGCTCTTGTGCGGCAGGCCCCTCACCCGGGGTGGGAAGAGGTCCCCAGCCCTTTCCCTGGAGAAGCACTGTATGGCTGTCTCACTGGCCCACACTTGGCAGGGTGGCAGTGGAGGTGGTGACCACAATGACCTCGGCGGACGTGATGTGGCAGGACGGCTCCGTGGAGTGCAACATCCGCTCCAACGACCTCTTCCCCGTGCACCACCTGGACAACAACGAGTTCTGCCCTGGGGACTTCGTGGTGGACAAGCGAGGTAGTACCAGCCCTGCAGTGGCCAGTGGTGCAGCTGCCCATGAGAGCCTGGGGGTGCCAGGAGGCATGGGCAGGGCCTCGGGATCAAGGAGGAGGCTGACCTTGCGTGGGCGGGAGGGCTGCTGTGGTGGGACATGGGCAGTGCCAGGCCTCCCTCACTAGTCATGTCCCCTCTGCTTCCCTAGTTCAGAGCTGCCCGGACCCCGCAGTCTATGGTGTGGTGCAGTCTGGGGACCACATTGGCCGCACCTGTATGGTGAAGTGGTTCAAGCTGCGGCCAAGCGGGGACGACGTGGAGGTGGGTGTTTGTGGCCCCTGCTCTTCCTTCAGGTACTCTGGGGGTCCTGTGAGGGTCCCATGAGGGTCCCTGGCTCACAGCAGCCCACCCTGTGCTACAGCTCATTGGAGAAGAGGAAGACGTGAGCGTTTATGACATCGCTGACCACCCTGACTTTCGGTTCCGCACGACTGACATTGTCATTCGCATTGGCAACACCGAGGATGGGGCTCCACACAAAGAGGATGAGGTGGGTGCACCCTGGTTCAAGGTGTGGATCTTTGCTCCATGCCCGTCAAGCAGCTGCAGTCCCTGATGGTGCCACCAGGTGGCTCCAGAAGACAAGACCTGACAGTCCTGTGGGCCCACTGTCCCAGGTGCTCGTCAGCCCTGGCACCTTTAGCATTCAGGCTGGTCATGGTTTGGAGGAGCCAAGCTCCGTGTCACAAGCCATATGAGTGTGAAGTCGGGTATTGCAGAGCACAGGCGAGGCTTGGGAGGCAGAGCCTGAGCTGGACCTTGAAGGGGTGGGGATGTTAGGTGGGGTTTGGGGCAGATTCCGTGCAGATTCCTGGAGCCAGAAACCCCGAGCTGGGAAAGAGGAGAAGCCCAGAGAGGCCAGAGCTCTGGTGGTCGGAAGGAGTTAGCAGAGCTTGCGAAGAGCTGTGTCGAGCACTTGCTGCTCAGTGACAGCACCGAGAGCGTCCCATCCCCAAGTCACCTCCCGCAGCCGCTCATGTCCTTCACTCCTCGTGGCCTCATTCCGTACCACCCACTTCTGGGCACCATCAGAGGTGCTGTGGCCTGCATCCCTCCCAGAGAACTGCTCCCTTGACTGTGTCCCCTTTGCCCAGCAGCCGTCAGTGGGCCAGGTGGCTCGCGTGGATGTCAGCAGCAAGGTGGAGGTGGTGTGGGCTGACAACTCGAAGACCATCATCCTGCCCCAGGTAAGGCTCGGGCAGACCCCTGGGCTCACGGGAGCTGAGAGCTGGGAGCTCTAGCCTGTCTTCTGTCCTCGCGGCCCTGAGAAGGGCTTTCTGGCCTTTACCCACCAGGCAAAGAGACAGAGGCACCCCACATCCCCATTTACAGGGAGGTGTTCTCAGACTTCAGGCCTCTCCCGATTCTGAGCTTACTGTGTTGAGAATCTGCACGTTACCCCTAGGAGACAGACTTTCCTTCCACACTTCTAGGAAATTTTTAACAGACAAGGGAAAGAAGAGCCGATCCCAGTTCAGCCCCGCTAGCCGACCGCACAGCGCCACTCTCCTCTCCCAGCATGGTAGAGCCAGGTGGGGCAGGGAATGCCTCGTCCCCTCATCCTGACAGCCACTCCAGGGAAAGGTCAGGATGTGGGCTGCTCCCCCACATCTCCCCTCCTCTCACATGTTCCCAGCTCTACGTGTAGCCCCTCAAAAGCTGTCCCGCAGCATCCGCAGCATCCGCAGCTGGTGGAGGGCTGGATTTGCCAAGATTTCCCCTCAGGCCCTGCAGCCCTGGGGCAGATGCTGACCAAGTAGGGAGGAGGCCAGCGTGGGGTATTGACTGGGCCTTTGGATCCTGCCCAGGGAAAGGAAGGATAGGCAAAGGTCCCTCACAGAGACTGGGGAGTCCCTGGCGCAGGGAGGCTCAAGCTGCAAAGCCAAGAGTGGAAGCGGGGGGAGGCAGAATGGGGTCACTGAGGCCTCAGGGAGTCACCATGAGCTGTGAAGGCGGGGTCCCCAGAGATCCTCCTCGGCGAGGGGCAGACCTCCTGTCGGAGTTACCACTGCACTGTCTTCTGCCCCCAGCACTTGTACAACATCGAGTCCGAGATTGAGGAGTCCGACTACGATTCGGTGGAAGGGAGCACCAGCGGGGCATCCTCGGACGAGTGGGAGGATGACAGCGACAGCTGGGAGACGGACAATGGGCTGGTGGAGGATGAGCACCCCAAGATAGAGGAGCCCCCTGTCCTGCCCACCGAGCAGCTGCCAGCTCCCGAGGAGGACAAGGGCGTGGTGATCAGTGAAGAGGCTGCCACTGCTGCCATCCAGGGGGCTGTGGCCATGGCCGCCCCAATGGCGGGGCTGATGGAAAAGGCTGGCAAGGATGGGCCCCCCAAGAGCTTCCGAGAGCTGAAGGAGGCCATCAAGATCCTGGAGAGCCTCAAGAACATGACTGTGGAGCAGCTGCTGACGGGCTCCCCCACGTCCCCCACCGTGGAGCCTGAGAAGCCCACCAGAGAGAAGAAGTTTCTGGACGATATCAAGAAGCTGCAGGAGAACCTCAAGAAGACCCTGGACAACGTGGCCATCGCAGAGGAGGAGAAGATGGAGGCAGCGCCTGACACGGAGCGCAAGGAGGACAAGCTGGAGGGGCAGTCACCCGTGAAGGCTGAGTGGCCCAGCGAGACGCCTGTGCTCTGCCAGCAGTGCGGTGGCAAGCCCGGCGTCACCTTCACCAGCGCCAAAGGCGAGGTCTTCTCAGTGCTGGAGTTTGCACCCTGTGAGTGGGCCCTCGCCTGCCTTCACCTTCCCCACCAGCTGCAGGGCTCCTGTTTTTGTGAACATACCTGGTTTCTTCCCCACAACTCCTGCCCCCAGGGGCAGGCAGCATCCTGTGTGGGAGCAGTGGGAGGGAGACAGGCCCCTGGGTTTATTCCCCTGACCCGACTCCAGGCAGCCGCCCGACTGGGCCGTGCTTCCTGATGTGCAGTTGGTTCGCAGGTGGAGCTGCCTCCCAGTAGGGACTGATTCCTCTCTTTTCCCCTCCAGCAAATCACTCCTTTAAGAAAATTGAGTTCCAGCCTCCAGAAGCCAAGAAGTTCTTCAGCACAGTGCGGAAGGAGATGGCACTGCTGGCTACCTCACTGCCTGATGGCATCATGGTCAAGACTTTCGAGGATAGAATGGCAAGTGGGCTGGTGGGGGATTGGCGGGGCAGGTGCAGATGCGCTGTATGGGCACTCAGTGCCCAACAGGCTGCCAGCCTTGGGTGCCTGGATCTTCACAGCTGAATGAATCTGAGCAGCGGCCACTCGCCTGCCCAGTTGCGCAGGGAGGGAACACTTCCATAGGATGAGGATTTGGTCATGCAAGCCCATGGCCTGGGGTGTTATTTCCTCTCTTTAAAAATTAGCTTAAAATAATCCTAATTACCCAGGTCTACTGTGCTTTCTGAAAATTAGAACGTTTCAGAGCTGGAGTTGTCCTCATCCAGCCCTGGGCTCCTTTTCCCCTGAAATCTGAGGCCCCAGAGGACCTGACATTGGACACTGGTGGCACTGTCCTTCCGGATGATCTTTTTAAAGATAGTTTTGCATCTTTGTGTATCAGCTTAGCCCACAGTATTTCACACAGTTCAGTCACACAGTAGCGCGTCACTAACCCTGACGCCTGTAGTTTGCTCTCTCCACGTGGTAGTGGGTGAGACCTGCCCTTGGTGCTCACGTTGGCTCAGCTGGCTCCTCTGGCTAAGGGAGCGCACATTCCATTTCCTGTTCCTCTGTTTGTGGCCAGGACCCCACGTTCCTCAGTCGTGTTCAGGGCAGGCAGGCATGTCCTGCCTCACAGCTTACCGAACAACCCCTTCTCAGCCTCTGCTGTGACCAGGCCTGAGCTAGACCCTGAGTGTGAGTTCAGAGGCTCAGCTTGGGCCCTATTCTGAGGAGCCAGAGAGCAGAAAGAGTCGGCACCCTGCTGTCACGCTGCTCTGACAGCCCCATGGCCGGGAGGCCCTTAATAACACTTGTCTCTCTTGAGTTTTGGCAGAATTCCTTTAGAAAAATATTCCAGCCAGTCTCATCTTTGCTGAGAGATAAACAGAGCTGCATGTTTTGTTTTGTTACAGTTTTTTCCAAATCTCAGAGGCTCTCAGGATGGCCCCGATCCGAACATACGTGAGGGGGTTTTGTTACTCCAGTTAGTACCTCACCCCTCCACCTCTTCTTGCCCCACAACATGCTGTTGCCCTGGCGGTCACAGCACGTGTGACACGCGCACACAAGCCCAGAACCCACATGCCACGGGCCAGCTCTTGGAACTTAGCCTTGTGGTCTCCCAACACCTGCCCTGAATTCAGATCCTCAGTGGTGCCATCCTGCCTCTAGTGCAGATATCTACATGGAGGGCCTCTGGTGCTAGTGGTGTCTAGAGATCCAGGCCCCGTGCCAACCGTCCCCTCCCCTTCCTCCTAGGACCTCTTCTCAGCTTTTATCAAGGGCCCCACTCGAACCCCCTACGAGGACGGCCTCTACCTGTTTGACATCCAGCTCCCCAACATCTATCCGGCCGTGCCCCCCCACTTTTGCTACCTCTCCCAGTGCAGTGGCCGCCTGAACCCCAACCTGTATGACAATGGGAAGGTGTGCGTCAGCCTCCTGGGCACCTGGATCGGAAAAGTGAGTGAGGCAACAATGCCCCAGCTAGGGTGGAGAGACAGGGTGGGTGTCTACGGGACATGCCTGATGGCCCCTGTGTGTTTCAGGGGACAGAGAGGTGGACGAGTAAATCCAGCCTGCTCCAGGTGCTCATCTCCATCCAAGGTACTGCTGGGCCCGGCGAGGTCACGCTGGCTGGGTTTCTGTCCCCCGGGGGTGGGAGGCAGCCCTCCCTGATGGGCTTCCCCCACCACTGAGAGCAGTGTCCTCGCAGGTCTGATCCTGGTGAATGAGCCTTACTACAACGAAGCCGGCTTCGACAGTGACCGGGGCCTGCAGGAAGGCTATGAGAACAGTCGCTGCTACAACGAGATGGCCCTGATCCGCGTGGTGCAGTCCATGACCCAGCTGGTTCGGCGGCCCCCAGAGGTGTTTGAGCAGGAGATCCGGCAGCACTTCAGCATTGGCGGCTGGCGGCTGGTGAACCGTATCGAATCCTGGTTGGAAACCCATGCCCTGCTGGAGCGGGCCCAGGCGCTGCCCAACGGGGTCACCAAGGACCGCAGCTCCCCAGAGCCGCCTGCTGTGGCCGAGCTCTCAGACTCCGGTCGAGAAGAACCTGAGGATGGCGGAGTGGCCCCTGGAGAGGCCTCCCAAGGCTCAGACTCAGAGGGTGGTGCCCAGGGCCCAGCCTCAACTAGCAGGGACCGCACAGATCAGACTTCAGAGATGGTGCCAGACGCATCTATACCACCCAGCGTCAAACCAAAGAAGCGGAGAAAGAGCTACCGGAGCTTCTTGCCCGAGAAGAGCGGCTACCCTGACATCGGCTTTCCCCTCTTCCCGCTCTCTAAGGGTTTTATCAAGAGCATCAGGGGTGTCCTGACCCAGTTCCGGGCCGCCCTGCTAGAGGCAGGCATGCCGGAAAGCACAGAGGACAAGTAGCCACCAGCCCTCGAGGAAGGAGCGTCGCTGCGGGAGAGGCCAGCAGCTGCCTACTCACTCCCTCCCTGGACCCTCCCTTCTTCCCGGCCCCTGTCCCCAGTGCAAGCCTCCCACTGCCCTCTTCTCCCCAAGACAAGTTTGATTCTGAAGTGCAAGAAGTGTCCCGAGATGCTGCGTTTCTGTTCCGAAACAATCTTTCAGCAGGCAGGTCCCCTGTGGCAAAGAAATCCGGAACCCGGTTGTGATTTCGGCTTGTCACTCCAGGCAGAATGTCCCGACACTTGCTCCCTTGCTGCCCTTTTCTCAGGTCAGAGGTGGGGTGTTCCGGGGCCCTGCAGATGGGCAGGAGAGTGGATGTGCCTTGCATGATGAAGTCTGAGCTGCTCCTGCAGTGCCCCTGGTCCCTTTTAGCAGTTGGACTGTAGCCTCCTCACATCCCTGCTGCCACCACCACTGCCCCACCCCCACCCCACCCCCCCGTCCTCCAGCGTGAACACTCTCCGTGGGCGCTGTAGCTGCTATCGCTCACTTTCGGCTCTGGCCTGTTTGCCACATTATAACCCTCAGATCTATTGAACTTGCTCTCCACAAGAGGTCAGGAGTAGGCTAGGTTCAGGGTGACACCCGGGAGGTGGCAGCCCTCACACCAACATGGAGTTAAGGACAGGGAGCTGCTGGGGGAAAGTGCTTCAGGTGCCTCGCTTGCTTTTCTCATCCAGGCCTGGTGGGGCACTGGCAGTTCTGGCCCTGGCCACACCTGTGGGGACTTCATGGACTTCGACTCTCCAGCAAGGATGCAGGGGTAGGGGCCAGGCAAGCACCAGGGCCTCTCCCTCCCAGCAGCTCAGCCCTCTGGGGAGGAGAGCGAGGCCTCGGCAGCCCTACACTTCCATGCTGCGGGCTCAGTCTGGGGGGGGGGG